AAAAAAATTATTTATAATTTACGAATAATATTTTATATTTATAACTTTTAAAATATTGCTGAATTAATGATGTTTAATAATTGGAGTAAATTTGTTTAAATGTTTGTTTAACAAGCAGGGGTGTATATAGCGCATTGTTCAATTGTCATTTGTCTTCGTGAAGAGTACATGTTGAGACGCATCGCCACAGCAACCAAGCAGTCCCCATTCGTTATCACCTACTTTGAGTATATGGAATTGCGAGGTTATCCCGCTTTCCTGTTGAGTGGGGGTTGTGGAACGGACCTCTTTGATCTCTCAGTCAAATATGGTGGAATGTCAGAAGAACAGGCCAAATTCTATGCTTGTGAGCTCATCTGTGGCTTGGAACATCTCCACTCATTGGACATTGTGCACTGAGATATCAAACCGGAGAATATCTTACTCTATCACACTGGCCACATCATGATCGCCGACTTCGATATTGCCATTGACCAATCAGAGCGTGGTGATCCTAACAACTGAAACTATGCTGGTGGAACGCCGGGCTATGTAGCGCTTGAGATTTTGAAGAGAATGACTTGCACGAAGAAATCGGATGTGTGGAGTATGGCTGCTGTGATAGCTCATCTAGTCACTTCTTCGAGGACGTGGACTGGCAAATGGTGGAGAATCTAAAACTCACTCCACCATTCGACTTCCTCCATGAGGAGAATTCACCTCAGCAACTGCCACAGATGGGAAACATCAAGGATGACTCCATAGTTGGTGGACCACGTGCTCCCTCCGAAGTTGACAACGACATCGTCGCTTCAAGACCTAAAGTGCATGAAAGTATCTCGTCTCATTCTTAGGAAGAGAGTATTTAGTCGAGGTCGCCAAGTCTGGAGTTTAACGAACACTGTGAATGAATGGGTGCCGATCCGAAAGCAGTTCCAAGAAACCCCCTAATCGCATCACCTATGTCGTTGATCCAAGGTCTCCTCAATCGTCTCTTTTGTTTTTAACCAATTCCCACTCTACACTATTTGTAACAATGCTTTATGTACACATTGTAATAAAATATGTAAATTTGTAATAGGTGCTTCACTGCTGTGATCTAGACTAGAAGTGGGTTTGCATTTGTTTTGCCTAATGAACGGTATCTGGTTGGAGAGATGGGTGGTTGTTCATACGAGTTGAATGTCAAATAGGGAGTTCATCGAGGAGACAGCAATTAAGGACATTGATACCACAGTATCATGGAGTCGTCTTAGCGATAAGTACTTCCTAATGGCACATTTTCCTTCTCAAATAGCCAATACCCTCATCACACGTGCTTTATTTGAGTCGAGCAAATCTGTGGAGGGGAATGTACATGAAACTGTTCAATTCTGTCAGCTAGTAGAGGTTTTGATTGTTGATCTACAGGAGGAAATGGATAAGACCCACCTGATTCGGTTTCCAGCCCTAAAGGCAACGACGGAAAGCCAGAGATACTGGGAAGCAAGAAGAATTGCTTTTAATTAACTGCTATAAACGTACCACCCCTCCCACCCTTGGGGGAAGGTGAAGTTAATGTTTAATGGCTTATGATAAATATCACAAAGCCTGCCATTTCAAATAACTTAATTAATCCGATTTAAGGGTTCTCCATAAGGAGGGGTTGAGGAAGTGGAGAATTCAGTAGCAGAAATTTTGCAATTCAACTGCTCAGTTGAAGGATGCTGGAAGTATCATGTACGTATACCTTGAATGATTTGCAGTCATCTTTATGCATAAGGTTCCAACTACAGACATGTCCCAGTGAAGCAGTTTGGAGAATGGTCTCTTTGTAAATATGATATCAATTTTATCCAAATGCAGAGGGTTGTGATTCGG